AGCCTGGGCTACATGAGACCCTGTGTTAAAGTGGGGAGGGTGCTAGGGAAATGGCTTATTGGTTGAAAATGTTTGTCACTCTCCCAGAGGAACTGAGTTCAGTTCCTAGCACCCAGGTTGGGTGGTTCAGGACCACTTGTAACCCCAGCTCCAGAGGATCTGACACCCTCTTCTGGCTTATACAGATATATCTGCACATGACACCCCCACCCCCACCTGTGGTTAAAGTACAAAACACTTTAAAAGTTTAAATCCAAATCTCAAATAATCCTAGCTGAGGAACAAAGGTAATAGGAGAAGAGAGTGAGCTCTAGGCCGATATTGTTAAGCAGCTAGCTAGTGGGGCTGGAGCAAAACTTGGGTACAGATATATATATATAATTTTTTTTTTAAATTTAACTCAGAGGTTAAGAGCACTGACTGTTCTTCCAGAGGTCCTGAGTTCAATTCCCAGCAACCACATGGTAACTCACAACCATCTGTTATGAGATATGGTGCCCTCTATTGGCCTATAGGATATATGTAGGCAGAATACTGTATACATAATAAATCTTTAATTTTTTTTTAATTTGTGTATGTGTCTGTCTGTCCTACATTATTAGATCATTTGAAGGAAGAGATTATACCTTTGTGTAGTCTTTGTATAATGTTGACTAAGGTTTCTGTCCTATCAGGTCCCATAGCTATTTAGTCCCAAATAAACACACAGAGGTCTGCATTAATTATAAACTGATTGTGTTAGTATCTCAGGCTTCTTATTAACTCTTTTTTCCCTTTTTTGTTTTGTTTTGTTTTTTTCGAGACAGGGTTTCTCTGTAGCTTTGGAGCCTGTCCTGGAACTAGCTCTTGTAGACCAGGCTGGCCTCGAACTCATAGAGATCCGCCTGCCTCTGCCTCCCAAGTGCTGGGATTAAAGGCGTGCGCCACCACCGCCCGGCTTTCCCATTTTTTTTATTAAATTTTTTTTTAATTAAAAATTTCTACCTCCTCCCCGCCTCCCTTTTCCCTCCCCCTCCCCCCTTATTAACTCTTATAACTTATATTAGCCCATAATTCTTGTCTGTTAGCCACTGGCGAGGCCGTCACATCTTGCTTGCTCTGTGGGTGATGACTGCAGACTGAAACTTCCCTCTTCCCAGAATTCCCGTTGCCCCACCTCTACTTCCTGCCTGGCTACTGGCCAATCAGCGTTTATTTATAATACAAGTGACAGGGTACAGACCATTGTCTCAGCAGTATAGTCTCAGTAGTGTAGTTCTAGCTTCCAGTGAGCACTCCATCAGTTTGAGTTGACTTTAGCCAGTTTCAGAAAATGTCTGTCTCCCAGGCAGCAAAGGATATAGTAACATTCTCTATGGCTAATGACATCAAGAGACCCATTGCTCTAAATGGCACTGGATTGTCTAAGGTTTCTAATTTCATGCAAATAGTTTTTCTGTTGTTGTCGTCTTCATCGTTGTCCCCCAGACAGGGTTTCTCTGTGTAGGCTGTCCTGGAACTTGCTCTGTACACTAGGCTGGCCACCTGCTTCTGCCTCCCAAGTACAGGGATTAAAAATGTGTGCCACCACTGCCTAGCTTCATGTGGACAGATTTTAATTCTATAACTAGGTGAAATCCAGGAAATTGAGCAGTTTTCTGGGGTTTTGAGTCTTTTTCCTTCTCCTGCTTAGTGTCTTAAGATCTGCTAAATCAGATTAACTTTCTACTGTGTATGCTACATTGCTTGGGTCTGTTATCCCAGATGGACATTCCCTTCCAAGAAACATCCTGAGGGTCATACTCAGACAATAAATTTGGCTTTTTTTTTTTTTTTTTTTTTTTTGAGCTTGTAGCTCTCAGAGGCTTAATGGGGATGTCCCTAAAACTTTCTTTTAGCCTGTTAAAATAGGCCTAGGCCCTACTTTTGTCAAAATGTTTGAATCAAAGAAGACTATTAAATAAAGCCTATATTTTCAATGCTGAAATTTGTTTTAAGTAATCTAAATTTAGTATACCCTGTAACCCTGGGAGACCTTGAGTGTCTCTCAGAATTTAGCAGAGCGTATAAATGGTGCTCAGTCCTTGCTGACCTGCACACCACTCAGTTTCATGCTGCTGTGACTTGAGCATCTTAGTGCAGGAAGGTTGTGCTTTCTTTGACTAGTCTGCCCCCTGTAGCAGTTGCTGTCTTTTGTGTCCTGCTTAGGGCTGTTTGCCAGCAGCATGTCCTGCTTGGTCCCCGGCACCCTGCACAGATGGAAGCTTTGTCTGCAGTGTTGGTGATTTTAGTCCAGGCCAGGACTTTGCTGCTGCAGGGTGGCAGAAAGTTGTGACTGTTTCCTTCTATTGAGAAGATGGGGTTAGGGAGAGGGAGGGTGGACGGGTGATTTCCCGGAATTTTAAGTATTCTGCACAATGAGTCTTTTGATTTCTTTCTTAGGAACAGGGCGGATACCTGACCAACTCGTGATTCTAGACATGAAGCATGGAGTAGAGGCGAAAAATTATGAAGAGGTATGTACTGCTCCAGCCGGGGCTGTGAGGTGCTCCAGCTGGGGCCCTGAGGTGCTGTACCTGATCCGGCCAGAAGGCGTGGTTTTCTCAGCAGTCATGTGACAACCAGCTACGGGCCTAGTGATATGATACAAAAGGTTGTAGTAACAGACTTGAACAATAATTCTCGCTGTGATTATAGCCAATGGACTGAATCGTCTGTCTGTACAGCTGCTATGTTGGTGTGTAAAGAGTTCAGTCATGCCATTAGCATTCTAGGGGCAGGAAATGCACAAACAATTTTTTAAAACTAGAATTTAGTCAAAAGTTTAAAAAAAAATTTAAATTCCCCTGCCCCCAATTATAGGTAGGTATAGATCTTAGGGCATAGATTCAATGTCATTTAATCTTGAATAGCTGTACTGGTTTTGAGAAACAGTAGTAGTCAAAAGAAAAATAAAACAACCAAACTTCTAGTTTAAGTAATTCCAGACTTACAGAAGAGGCAGGGTGGTACAAAAAGCTATAAGAGAGGAGCGGCTGTCATGAGTAGAGATTTGAAGGAGGCCCTTGTGTGCACACCTGTTATCCTAGCACTTGGGGGACAGAGGTACGAAGACCACCACAGTTCGAGACAGGGTTTCTGTGTAGCTTTGGAGCCTGTCCTGGAACTCACTCTGTAGACTAGTCTGGCCTTGAACTCACAGAGATCCGCCTGCCTCTGCCCCTGAGTGCTGGCATTAAAGGCGAGCGCCACTACCGCCTGGCCCAAATGTGTCTTTTAAATTCATGTCTTTGTTTTTTTGTTTTTTCAAGACACTGTTTCTCAGCTTTGCCCATCCTAGAACTCCCTCTGTAGACTAGTCTTGCCTCCAACTCAGAGATCTGCCTGTCTCTGCCTCCCAGGTGCTGGGATTAAAGGTTTGTGTCCCCACATCTGGCTTATGTCTTCTTTCTAGCCTGCTGAGCCTAGTTAGTGCTGTCTATACGCACATGGGTGTGGGACATGAGCAACCTAACAGTGGCCCCATTCCCAAAGAACAATGACTCTCCCTCTCTCTGCTAGCAGCCAGTAACAGTCTTTAGCTCCTCAGCTAGGTTGGGGACTTCTGAGCCCTTGGCTTGGTCTTGTTCAGCTTCTTGCACAGCTGCTGTGAGTTCTTTGCGTGAGCAAGACCATGTCATATGTAGAAGACAGCATTTCCCAGCACTCCTCCCTGTGTTTTAGAGCTTGTACTCTTTCTTCCCCTCTTCCACGATGTTTCGGAGTCTTGAGGGGTTGACAGGACAGCTCTGAATTACAAGAGCAGGTGCAGTGTTTTCAGTGCACTGTTACTGCTGCTGTTTCCACCCATAGATTAAGGCACATATGTATTAAATAGCAGGGTACCAGAAGCCCTATTAAGACATCATATTCTCCCCAAAACACTTGGCATTACTGTGCCTTTATAAAAAAGAATGGTATGGGTACTACTACCATACCACATACTGCAGGAGTTATTCCTGTAATTCCTGACATTTCCAGTCTCTTTATGTGTTACACTGGAAAAGGAGTTTTATCTTTTTTGGCCCCCTGCTTTATATAAAAGGGGAATCCCTAGCGGAAAGGAACTACATCGCTTCCCTTGCCTGCTTCCTGCTTTGGATGTCTGGCATGTCCTAAGCTTTTTACGCACATGATTACCACACAGCTCTAAGCTTCTGCTTCCTAACCACAAACTCTTCCCTATCGCTGTCTTTAATGACTTCCTCTCTCCCAGCTCTCAACAGCAGAACAAATTGAGGCAAAAGCAGGGTAGCTATGACAGGCCAAAGTCAGTCCTTTTTTGAGTCTATGGCTAGGCTACTAGACTTCTTGGACCTTGCGTAGCAATAGCCATGACTTATCCTGGGCTAATAATGCCTGTGGTGAAAGAAAGATAACAGAAGCATTTTGTTCCCTAGGTAATTGATGGAGAGCACTGAGCTTATTTAAAGTTTTTTAGATTTATTTATTATTATGTATACAGTGTTCTGTCTGCATGTATGCCTGCAGGCCAGAAAACGGCACCAGATCTCATTATAGATGGCTGTGAGCCATCATGTGGTTGCTAGGAATTGAACTCAGGACCTCTGAAAGAGCAGCCAGTGCTCTTAACCCCTGAGCCATCTCTCCTGCCCAGAATTTTTGAGACATTTAATTTTAAGACCTGAAGACCCTTTATCCCTAAAGGAGTTGAATCATTTGGCATCAGAAAGGCAGCATATTTTTTTTCTTACATCCAGCATCTCAATATGGAATCTGAATGAGTCCTGTAAAATTCAGACAGCCTCACCATGTAGCCTAGGTTGGCCTGGAACTCACTATGTAGCCACAGGCTGAGCTCAAACTGTCAATCCCCTTTAGTCTCATATTTGATACTAGGACTGCCAGACTGTGTATCACCAAAGTGGCCTCCAAGTTCTCCCTAATCTCCCAGTCCCTACCTATTACAGGGTCCTCTTGACTCCAGCCTAGGGGCTGGGCTCCCCTTCCCCCAGCTGCTCTTTCCTATAGAATCCAGACATTTTGGTTACCTTGTCCATTTGTCTACTCTTTGTGCCTCCTGGCTCCTGCACCTCTCCCCTGTTTCTTCCCCCTTCCTCACGTGGCCCAGCTCAGCCTGGACTCTCCCCATTGTGTCTGACTCTGGCTATGCGCTTCCACATATCCATAATAAATTTTCTCATCCTTTATACCTAGGAGCAGTTATGTCCTTGCCTTCTTTCTTATTTCTTTTTTGCATTCATCTGGTGCCAAAGGCAGTTCTTCATAAAGAAGGAGCCATGCGTGAGAACTCCCCTAACTCCTGAGCTATGCATGACCTTTCTTGATGTGGATGGCTACATTTTCAACATGAGGAAGTCCTGTGTTAGCTAGGTTCTCCAAGTCTGTCATTCTATCAGTAGACACTCCAGAACATAGTCGGGGTCACAGCCGAAGACTTCCCAAGTGTTCTGGTTCTCTGAATGCTGGCAGGAAAGAGGAATTCTGCTTCTGTACACCACTTCCACAGACTCCTAAGTTAAAGGACAGGACGTGAGTAAGGCCCCTGAAACGTGGTTGATCAGCATGTGAGTTTTAGTTTCTTCCCCTACCCATCCTGGAGACTACCAAATGATCACAACAGAAATAAGGGCCTTCAGATTTCCTGCCGCGATTGAACTTATTATCTGAACTTGACTTTGATAGCTGTTGGCCTTGTGAGCGACTGTGACCATGGCTTATGATCCATGTGCCTCCTCTGGTGCCAGATTAGTCCTTGGATCTTGTTCTTTATCTTTACCTTTTGTTAACCTAGATTTATTGCTTTGCCTTTGGAGCTTTGAGAGCTGGTTTATGCTTTTGAGGTGGAACATAGAGGTAGCAAATTAACTTGACTGAATTTGCCTTATGGGTCTTGAAGTTGCATTTATTTGTTCTGCTTATTTTTTGAGTGTTAAGTTCTTTTCTCAGTGCCATTGTAGATAAATCTGTGATCTCTGTGGAGTCATGTCATGATCAGAGTTGCAGATCTGGATGCAATTTAGGAAGAGTTTAATTTATTAATGCTCTGAAGGTACATAAACAGGAAAAAAGCCACGTGGCTTTTAGTTTTTTCTAAGCAATATGGACTAGTCATGTTAAAGTGGTAGATTTATGGGATGGAGGATTTATTCTGGGCAAGTGGGCTTTATGAAAAAAGATGCAGAGTGATCATGGCACACAGAGCGCTTGCTTAAGAGGATCGTAATGCTTGAGAAAGCTGGCTCCTTTGAGGCCAGTGCTGTGTATTAGGTGATTTCCTTGTATTCAAGCTTGAGATACAGTCAAGACAATAATGTGTCAATATGTCAGTATATGTGTGTTCATTGTACCAGCCGTAGCTTTAGGCTTAGGGAAAAGAAGCTTTCATGGACAGCAGTGACTGAAGGAGTCCTCATGATTACCCCGTGCAGATAAGTAGGACTGGGTAGAATGAGATTGTATGCTTCTGAACTACAGAAGGAATATTCTTGGGTTTATGGCAGTTTTGATGCTAAATAAATGCCCGAGCCTCGTTAGAGATTCAAGAGACCATGGTGCTGCTGATCTTAATCTGCCACCAAAAGGGCTGACTATGGAATGTTAAGTTTTCTCCTCATAAAGTATGTACCCTGTTCCTCTAATACTGATTACTTAATAGCTTCATGCGACATCTTAGGAGTGGCACCCCCTTAGGAGTGGAATATTTGTGTTACCCATTGCCGTGGCCTGCCTTTTTCAAGCTCGGGATAAAATGCCTTATTTCCAGCCCTAGAAGAAAAAGTAGTTAGAATATTAGTCTGTCTTCAAGGAACATATAACCTGATATTCTTCAAGAAACCTGGAGCATTAAGTCAGACATTTAGACAAGCAGAACAACGGTTGAGGGTGGTAGTAGATTTTTATTTTCTTTTAAACAAGCATTCATTTTCCTTGTTTGCAAGGCTAGGGATCCAAGGCTTCATGAATGCTAGGCAAGCACTTTGCCAGTCAAGCTATAGCCCAGCCTTGAGATGTCTTTCTTTAGATTTGAACTGACTTGTGTATAAAGTCTTGATGTACTTAATCCCAGGCAAGTGAAGGAGGTCTCCTGGAGAATGCCTCAGAATTTCTTTTAAAGGTTTACTCTTTTATCTGCAAACATGAGAATAGTAGCAATGGGAAAACTGGAAAGGTTCTCAAACTTTATTAGTCTGGAAAACTTAACCAGACCCCTCTGACCTAGTGTAATTGTTCACCTTTTGGGGGAGGGCACTCTTAAGTATCTGTCTGTCTGTCTATCTGTCTTAGGTAGGGTCTTGTGCAGCCCAGGCTCACCTCAAACTTATTGTGTAGTACTCAAAGAGCCTCTGAGCCTCTTGCTTTACCTCCCAAGTATTGGGGTCACTAGTGTGTATCCCCACACCAAGATGATTGTGTCTGCATGCATGCATGTTTGGGGACAACGTCTCATTCTGTAACTCGGCCTGGCCTCAAATTCACAACAGTTCTCCAGCCT